CTCTCTCTCTCTCTCTCTCTCTCTCTCTCTCTCTCTCTCTCTCTCTCTCTCTCTCTTCTCTCTCTCTCTCTCTCTCTCTCTCAGAGATTAAGGAAAATAATTTTAAAAAAAATTCTGTGTTTTCTTCTTAATGCGGTTTGGGGTTTCTGTGAACCAAGGCTTACCAAAAGGGGAGTTTTTTTTTTCCAACTTTCTCGAAGAAATTACGAGTGAAAAAGGGACTTCTCTCTTGTTTTTTCTGGTGGGTTTTTAATCCTTGTTTAAAATGGTTTTGTTTTGTGAGATTTTCTTCCGGGAAAAAGGGAATTTAGACGAAGGCGAGTGGGAGAAAGAAAGATAGCAATCAATAATAGTTTTCCAAAGTTAAGCCTAAAGAAATCAACTCTAACGGGTCAATCTTTACAGAAGAAGAAGAAGAAGAAGAAGAAGAAGAAGAAGAGGATCTTCTGGTAATTCTCCTTTCTTTGATTGTTTCTCGTTTACAATGTTTTAGTCGAATTCTAACCATTTGCTTCAACCTTACTCGTGATTTCGCTTTCAGGGTCATCGAGGAATCATGCCTGCGACCATAATAAGTGACCCAGCACGTCTGGTTTCCGCACCTGCACTGGAAGTAGCAGTAGTGACAGTGGTTAACCAACCGGTTCAGGTGCCGACTAATCTCGCCGCCGATGAAACCGAACCGGTTACATGCGACTGTTGCGGGTTAACGGAGGAGTGCACAAAATCATACACCGACACAGTTCGTGAACGTCACATGGGCAAATGGATCTGCGGACTTTGCGCAGAAGCTGTGAAGTACGAGGTTGTAAGGGCAGAGAGACTTATAACTACAGAGGACGCCATGACTAGGCACATGAACACGTGCAACAAGTTCAAGTCTTCGAGTCCTCCGTCGAATCCGGCCGTTCATTTGATCTCTGCAATGAGACAGATCTTGAGAAGAGGCTTCGATTCTCCGAGGATGCTTTGTCCGATGCCGAGTAGTCCGTCTAAGGAAGACGGCGATTGTTCGACGGTTTTGTTGTCTAGGTCCGAGAGCTGTTTTGCAACTTTGACAAGCTCGTAAAGGGAAAACCGGTTTCGGTTTAGATTGGTTTCAGCTCGGTCTTTGGCAAACCGGATTTCTGTGATGAGGTCTATTATGGATGTGGAGTGGGCCATGTTGTCCTGAATTTTGTGGAATGAATGTTATTATGAAAGAATAATTTTTTTGGTCCTTTGTATTGAGATTTTGATACTTTCTTCTGAACTTTTTTAACTTGGAACAATCTTTCGTATTTGATTTTGTATTTCAAAATGATTTAAGGACCAAAATTATAATAAAATCTGTTCTATGTTATAATTTCCTCGATCTATAATATGTATGTATGTATGTATTATATTGTGAATAATTAAATATAATTAATAATTAAATTTAATTAATTTTCCGTAATGCCGACCCAAAAAAAAACAACAAGGAGAGACTCTTCCTAGTTCCTACCAATCATTATAGACTTTCCTTTCCTCCCATATTATAGAGTTTATGCAACCTAATCCCCAAGCAACTTCATAGTTAGTGCAACAAAAATCACCTCATATATATATATATACATATATATATATATACATATAGATTTGTAAAGTAGTAATTTAATTTGGACATTTAGTTTTAAAAAAAAAGTTGGAGTAGATATTCCATCTTGTTTGTCCCCTTTTCATATGTCTTAATGTTATCGAGTGGCCTATTCTCATATCTTAATTATGTTAAAAAAAATTCCTAACCGAGTGAATAAAGAATATAATGACCAATTTAGATTGCAATAAATAAAACAAAAGTGATTATAAAAACAAAAATATGCAATACATGGAGGTTGCGGCCGGCGTAAATCGACACAGAAATCATACACATAAATATTGGTATATAGTCGAGTACAATCTCTGGGTCGGATAACCGAGATTTTAAGATTATCCGAATTTGAATTCGAATTCGAATAGTCCAGATATTTTTATCCGTCTTTAAACGATGAATATTCTAGATATTTATATTCCGTGGCCAATCCATTAATTCATCGACTAAACGAAATTCGGAAATTTTTTTCTAACCCTAGATGAAGAGGAGGGTACCACTTTGATTTGGTTTGGCTTTTTATGTCCGGTCGCCCGTCGATTTAATGTGATCCTACTCACGGTCAATGAGATTCTCGATAATTCACTATATCATCCACGTTACGACAGCTCGGGAGAAACAAAATTGCTCAACCCGGAACCAATTACGATCTCTCCCGGGAAATGAAAAAGGATTCGTTTCATTTGAAGATCTTCGGCTTCTATCAGAGGAAGAAGACAAACAACTAACTTAACCGGCTTCCACTTCAAATGCCACAAATGCCCAAATATAAACCCCAAGTAGCGTTTTGGACGCTGTTAGAAGCAGTTTCTATGGTAAAAGCCCATTACGGTGTTTTTTTTTTTACGAGCAGACACCCAGAAATTTGAATCAAAATTTTACTAAATATTATTCGACTTTGATCCGTTACAAACTCATTCATCTATTCCAAATTATGATCCAACAATATATATATAATAAAAATTATAAAAAAAAATATAAACACGTGATTCATGGACAACGTTATGTCCCCACTATGCATGTCGGGATGAGTTCCATGCACAATATGTATACTTATGTGATTCACGATGGACAAAATTTCTGATTCTGTAATATTAATTGAAATCATGTATATATATATATATATATATATATCAGATTACACACATACATATTTTGGTTTCTCAACAAATCTGGATTCATTGCCAATAATCTGTAAATCGTGAAAAAAAAAATGTTTGCTAAATTTTCTAGGAATACATCAGATTCTTTTTTTTTTCTTCTAGATATTTACTCATTTGGGTCTAGTAGTTGCGATTGGATTTATAGATTATGATGTTTGCGATAGTAATTGTTGACATTTCTAGTTGCAGTTGGTATCAATTATTTTTTTCTTTCTAATTTTGTACATCAAAGAACTACAGATTACCTTATTATAGTCTTTATATCATTTATATAATTTGGAAATGATTTAGATTAAAAAAAATTATTTAGATTGCATAATTGACCAAACTAAAAAATTATACAGCATACATCCAAATTGATATGTGTTTCGTCACGTAATGATTATTAAAAGGGATAATTCCATTTAAAACTCTGTACTTTTCTCTCGTCTCAATTTAAACCTTATACTTTTTTTTATCCAAAAAAACATTGTACTTTTAAAAATTGGCAATTAAAACTCTATACTTTTAAAAATTGACAAATAAAACCCTGAACGAAAAACAATATTATTTAATGCTGACATGGCATCCTAGTCATCTGCCACATCATCAATCCCTAATATTTAATAATATTAATTAATAAAAAATAAAAATAAAATAATAAAAATAAAAATAAAATTTTAAAAATTATATATATTCATAAAATTATACACATATATAAACATGTTTATAAAAATTTTAAAATTATATACATATATAAATATATTTATATATACATATATACATATATATACATATGATACATATATATCTATATATGTGTATAATTATTATATGTTTTATATGTATGTGTTATATATGTATTTTTCCCTAAAAAACATTATATATATATATATGATTTTTAGGAAAAAAAATCATATATCACACATACATAAAACATATTTATATATATATCTATATAATACATACATATATATATGTATATATAAATATGTTTTATATGTATGTGTGATATATACATGCTTTTCTAAAAATCATATATATATGTAACATATGCATGATTTTAGAAAAAAAATACATATACCACATATGCATATAAAACATATATATATATATATATGTATTATATATATGTGTGTATATATATAAATATGTTTATATATGTGTATATATGTATATCATTTCATTATATATGTATGTGTATAATTTTTAAAATTTTATTTTTATTATTATTATTATTTTATTTTTATTTTGTATTAATTAATATTATTAAATATTAGAGATTGATGATGTGGCAGATGACTAGGATGCCATGTCAGCATTAAATAATATATTTTTTCGTTCAGGGTTTTATTTACCAATTTTTAAAAGTATAGAGTTTTAATTTCCAATTTTTAAAAGTACAATGTTTTTTTGGATCAAAAAAAAGTATAGGGTTTAAATTGCGACGAGAGAAAAGTACAGGGTTTTAAATGGAATTATCCCTTATTAAAAATAATTTATCATAAACATTTTCGCCGTGTCACTACAAATGCTCTATAGTTCCATCTTACAAAGTAATAAATTGTTTCAATTATAGGAAAAAAAAACTTGTTACGAAATTGTCGTCCGGTCTCAATCCATACGACCGTTTTTGCTTAGAAATTTGACAAAATTCCTAATGTATGTTGTTTTTTTTTTTGTTTTGTTTTGCGGTCATAACAAAATATTATTGCAACCTTTGGACGGCGCCGTTTCAGGCAATTGACTTTTTGATATATGGTTGATTTTTTTTTTAAATTAAGGTAGGAAATTATTTTTTGGTAATGGACCTTTGGTCCAGCTATATCCATACCAGTGGAAGAATTTTGACAACATTTTGTTTTTTTTTTCTTCGTTTGCTCATCAAAATAAAGAGATATCCAAAATATCTTATTTTGTTAAAACTATTTTCTCTAAACGTGACCATGTGATCAAAATTACACGTGACTTGATGTAATCAATATAAATTTAACGTTAAGATCATGTTATTCTGGTCATATGATCACATCTTATGATCACATCTTATATGTATAGAAGTAAATTTAGTAAAAGAAATGTATTTTGGATAATATCCCATCAAAATAAAACCAATTCAATTCGTTAATATTTCTATAGTTTTTTGTCGTCGTTTCTTTTGTCACAATGTTTATTAGAGTGGTGTTGTAAAACCGGTTTATTTTGGTTTGGTTCGATTTCAATAAATAAATTTTAGAATCATAATACTAATTATAGGATGAAAAAAATTAAAAAAAAACATAATTTTATATGAATTAGTTTAGACAGTTAAAACTAAACTACATAGATGTTGAAAGGTTTTATAGAATACTATTTTAATTTAAAAAAATATTAATCTTGATAGTTAATGCAGCGAAAGATGTCCAGACTTCCGTTGTTATCGATATACACATCGAATGAAGCTTATATTATTCTACCGCCGTATAATTAAATCTAGTCTTATACAGTTCTTTTCTTCTTCTTTTTTTTTTGTAAAAAAAATACCATACATTATTACCGTTAAATTGAATATATCATTGTCATCATTATTATAACATTAATCATCAAATCACCGTGATTTGAAGAAACTAATATGATCTTAAATATAAAACAAATCACGATACTGTTATTATTTTTATTTTTGGTAATTTAATGAATTTAAAATAAATAATAGAATTTTAAAATTTTAGTTTCTTAAAAAGTATGACTCATTAAATAATAACAATAATATTAATATTAATATTAATCACCATCACCATCATCATCACCATCACCATCACCATCACCATTATCATCTCAAACTTGTAGTTCTCGGACAAGTCCGCCGTAAACTCCCACATCGGATGTTTGGACCATACTTCAAGATACATGTGAATCACGAGTCACATGCATTCGAATTTTGGTGCTACATATAGGACGAATGCGTATGATGGTAGCTAGATAAAGAGTTTTGAGTTTAACCTATGCGAATGTCACGTGCATTTTTGTAATGGATCCAAATCTAACATGATTTGGACAGGAAGATGAAATATTCAATAAAATTGTGCTGAAATATTCGCACAAGAATATCACGGAATGATTTGAAACAATGTTATCGACATTACCAATTTGCTAAGCTCTCTTCCTTCTATCTATTCGACCCTCATATCATTAAATCAAATCTGTTACGGTTTTTTTTTTATATTTCTTTAAAAAAATTCAAATGATATTAGCAGCCGTAGTTGTGACATTAATTAACCATCATGGTTCTAACAAACTAATAGAACATCAAATACAGAGGAAAATTTCCTAGTAAATTGTATGACTACCGTTGTTGTTGTTGTTGATCATTGAATGAAATAAAATAATAATTCTTAGTTCTTATAAGAATTATTATTATTATTATTATTATATTGCACTTTATGACCTTTTTTCCACAAAATACAATTATTATAAAATAATAATAATAATAATAATAATAATAATAATAAGGAAAAATGACATAAACCCACACGAATTTAACCAAATGTGTAAAATCAGTAAATCAATTTTTAATTTGATAATTTTTCACACTTGATTTCAAATTTTCCCATTTACATCCACCAAATGATAAAAAAAATTCCAATTACCCACACAAAGAGAATTGATTGTGCCAATTCAGCATCCGATTGATGATGTGGCTCGACACATAATAAAATATGTCACGTCATGTGACATGTCAGCAAATCGATAGTGAAATCGGTTAACAAATTCGAACCGATTTTTGCTTAATCTTTTTTTAAAAAAAAAAATAAAAAAGGATTTAGGGATTGAAAACCCTAAATTAAAAATCTGACATAGTTCACAACGAAAGAAGCACATCTAGTACCAAGAAAATGTGCCAAATTATCCCTTCCTCTCGAATATTGTTTTTTAAAAATTGAATTCAAAATTATCCCAAATTAATTCGAAAATTTCCCAGCCTCTCGAAGAAATTGAAATCTCCTCAAGGAAAAAAAATCTGCAGTAGCAAACGGTGTTCGGGTCATGGCCTTGAACTTCTTCTCCACCTCTCTCCACTCTTCTTCTTCGTCATCGTCTTCAATCAAACAGAGACATCATCTGTTTCAGCAACTCTCTCCTCTCTCCTTTCGAAACAGGCGTTCGATCTGGGTGGAGCGAGAGCGGCGTCACCGACGAACCATGAGCAGCCGAACCATGAACCACAAAGCAAGAGCGAACCACCGAGATGAGTCGGATGCGTCGGAGCACCACTGACACGCGTCAGAGCCACGCCCGAGCTCGTTCATCTCACCGGAAAGGCGAGCACCAGAGGAGGAGAGGAGAGTTACTTCAGAAATTCTGATTTAGTGTCTCGATAGATTTTTGATTTAGGGTTTCGAACCCTAAATCCTTTTTTAAAAAACCGATTAAACAAAAAAATCGGTTCATATTTGTTAACCGATTTCACCGACCCGATCTGCTGACATGTCATGTGACGTGTCTCCTAACGTGTCATATTTTATGATGTGTCGAGTCACATCACCAATCGGATACTGAATTGGCACAATCAATTCTCTTTCTGTGGGTAATTGGAATTTTTTTATCATTTGGTGGAGGTAAATGGAAAATTTTGAAATCAAGTGTGGAAAATTGTTAAATTAAAAATTGGTGTACTTATCTTACACATTTGATTAAATTCGTGTGGGTTTATGTCATTTTCCCTAATAATAATAATATCCAACTCAAACTTGTAATTCTTGGACTAGTCCGACGATGTAGGAGTCTAAGACCGTGTATTGTCACGTCGCTTGTTTGGACCACCACCTCAAGGATGCATGTAAAAAACGAGTCACATGCACGAAATGTATACATACATATATATATACACACACACCCGATGCTGATTTAATTAAGAGTTTGAGTATACATTTTAATATAATATGTAGACGTCAAATTACTATAAAAAATGAATGCTAATTTTCGATGATTTATAAATTTCTCAACAATTATTAATTTCTAACGTATTTATTCTGGCATTAATACTCTATGATGAATATTCTATATATAAACTTTTTAACTAAATTTATGTACGATTTTTATTTGGAAAAATTCCAAAAAAAAAAAACCCACTAAACTTTCAAATTTTGACAAAAAAACGTTAAACTTTTTATTTTATCAAATAAACATTAAACTTTTTAAATTTGACAAAACAAATACTTAACTCTTTTTACGATTGTCAAAATAAACAAAATGATTAACATGACACAAAGAGATTCAAATATTTCAGATTATTCTGTTTAGTTTTTTTTTACAATATAAAAAGTTTATGTATTTTTTTGGATCACTAAAAAAGTTCAATATTTTTTTGATAATCTCAAAAAAGTTCATGTATTTTTTGGATCATTTAAAAAGTTCAGTATTTTTTAGATTCATTTAAAAAGTTTAATGTTTATTTGATAAAAAATAAAGTTCAGTGTTTTTTTGTCAAAATTGAAAAGTTTAGTGTTTTTTTTATCAGATTTTTTTTCGTAGATGTTTCCGAGTAAGTGTGTTGAAAAGAATATACAATGAATAATATATGGATTTATACTAACATTACTAAATTTGTAGATGTTTGGAGTACACAATAATATTAATATAACTACGTGCGTACACGTTTACAGCTATACAAATGCAATGTTAGATTCTGCAGAGAATAATCAGAATCCTAAATCTTAATTTAAATTAAATTAATTTCTGGGTTATCCATTTTTTTTTAATAATCAGAGTGGTTCACTGAACCTTCGGTCCAACTATATCCAATCTGAACGGGTGGACCGCATTGCTACAATTAATTGCATCTCACCTTTCCTTCCATGGATTCGAACCGACCACCACATGTGCCTAACGATCTCAAGAAGATCCGACCATCAAGATCGCTTATCAATCGCCCACGATGGAGCGGATTGAGTTATCCATTACCCAATAATAATAATAATAATAACAATATAATAATAATATTATTATTATTATTATTTTTTAGCAATTTGTTTAATAATGTAATTTCACATTTATGTTGAATATGTTTCGGATGAATCTTTCAAGAATTTTCAAACCCTCATTTTTCTCTTTTCTTTTTTTTTTTGCTAAAAATATTAGTAATTAGAATTCCAATATCTTTAGTTCTAGAGAAAATGTCGTATAAATACCCAACTTTCCAAAAAATATCAAATAAATCTCTAAATTTTTAATTTGATTTAATTGATATCTTAAATATTAAAAATCTAAATTGATTTAAATGTTAAAATTCTAAATTGATATCTCAAATGTTAAAAATGTTCTAAATAAATACTTTGACTAATAAAATCGATGGCAATTCTCAATCGCGATTCTAACGATGATATATAAATTAGATATTAATTTTTAATATAAAAAACGAATCGAAATTATAAATTACGTTCGATTTCGTGAATTAGAATATTTATTTAAAACATTTTAAAATTTAATTTAAAATATTTTAATATTTAAAGTATCAATTAGGTCAAATAAAAATTGAAATATTTATTTAGTATATTTTGTAAAATTGAATTATTTATATAGCATTTTTCCTTAGTTTTACAAATTTGGAAAAATCCCAAAGAACTTTTCAATTTTGACAAAATAACACTGAACTTTATTTTTTGTCAAATAAACATTAAACTTTTTAAATTTGACAAAATAAACATTTAACTCTTCAATAATTGTCAAAATAAACAAAAATACTGACGTAACACAAAGAGATGTAAACACTTCACATTATTTTACTTAATTTTTTTACAGTAGAAAAAATTCATATATTTTTTTTGGAACAATAAAAAGGTTCTGTGTTTTTTATAATCGGAAAAAAGTTTATATATTTTTTGGATCATTTAAAAAGTTTATTATTTTTTAGATTATTTTAAAAATTTTAATATTTTATTTGACAAAAATTTTTTTAATGTTTTTTATTAAAATTAAAAATTCAGTATTTTTGTTTTTGGATTTTCCATACAAATTTTAATTCATTTGATTATTTCCCATTTCTCACTTAACCATCCAGGTTCGAACGGCGGCTCAAGCTGTATCCGAATTCCGGGGGATCAAGGTTATTATTGCTATTTAGAGAACATGTGAAGGGTAAAGGGGTTCGACCTGGTTTCATCGTTTTCCTGGGACGCGTCCTGTCCGACTCGGAAACTCCTCTGACTAAATTAACCACATTTTCCCCATGGATCATTTTAAATTATACTTACCAAACCGTACACATAAAGGGTAACATAATTAAAAATAATAATAATCACCACTGTAACTGCGAATGCCTCGTTAACTTATTCATAAACATTAACACGAACTTTTAAGATATTACATTGTAATCATAAATCTTTATACATATATGTAGTGTTATCAATAGTTTGTCGACACCATAGTTACGAAGAATAATAAATTGTTGAATATCTTCTTTTTTTTTTTGTAAAATTTTTGAATATCGTTTTGCCAACAAAAGAGCTGAAATTCAATATTCTTGACTTTTACGTCAATAAATTATAAATCTTTGTATGATTTAATAACAATAAATTAGTATGAGCCTTTTTTTTTTGTTAGCAAATTAGTATGAGCCTTAATACGGAGGTTATAAAAAAACTTTACTCCCTAAAAATAATCAAACAATTCCTGAATTCAAATATGTATGACATTCGTAATTCATGTATCATTGTGTATGTCTGGAAATTTGATTACATATATATATATATATACGGGATCTACATTAGTAATTCAGGAATTATGTATTCCGTACCACTAATATTAAATTTAATCCTTTAAGATAATAAATATAAAAAAAAAACATTATCAATTTGATTTGCTTGTTCAGTTGAAAATAAACTAGTATATTCCATTTTTATCATATTATTAATATTTGATAACAAATTTTTATTTTTATATTATATGGGAGTATTATTAAAAAGTTTTTTAGATTATATGTGTGTGTGTATATATATGTGCGAGATAAGCCAAATTTATTAGTTATGAAACCCCAACATGCCCACCATATATTATTTGGAAAAGTAAAAATAGGTTATGAAAAAAATCTGTGTTTTTACCAAAGACGAGACCGAGAAAAACAAAACACATGATTCATGAAGAACATGTAAATCAACAGTTCAACCATAATAACGTGTGGACGGCAGACACCCGTTTCGTGCAGTGACCCACCTCTCTCTCTCTCTCTCTCTCTCTCTCTCTCTCTCTCTCTCTCTCTCGATATAAATAACTCACTTCCTCAGAACGGATTGTAATCAGAAGGCATCGAAATAACAACTGAGCCTCTCACTCCTCTGTCTCTCCCTCCTTCGAGCTCTACTTAGAACTCTCGTAGAGCTTTCGCCTTCTGCAGATTCCATCATCGAGAGTTCATAGTCGCTGTTGTCTTGATATGGCTCTTGCTAAAGAGATAATGGGCACTCCTCTGATCTCCGAGAGATCATCCTTCGCCTCTTCGTCGCCCGTCTCGTACTTCTCCGTCAAGAAGCGCCAAACCCCGTTCTTGATCAGTCCTTTTGACCGTAAGCCAGGATTCAGGTTTCCGGCGAGGAGATCGAGCGGCGGAGTTGTGGCGGCGATCAGCGAGGATCTCGTTAAAACGCTGCGTACCACCAACGACGGTGGGAGAGGTGACCGGAGCGAGGAGGAGGCGGTGAAGTTCAAGGTGAGAGCGGTCGTGACTGTGAGGAACAACAGGAAGGAAGATTTCAAGAAGGCTTTGGTCAAACATTTGGATTGTTTGGCTGATCGGATGGGGAGAAATGTCGTGTTGGAGCTCATTAACACCGAACTCGATCCAAGTAAGTCCCGTTTCTATGCTTAGATTTCAGTAAAATATAACCAAAATTTCCTTTCTGGGCATTCTTAAAATTCTGTATCCGGATATGGGTTCGTCCCAAAACTTCGCATTTCATCGTAAAGTCATGAAACCTGGAACGGGTAGCCGTCAAAACTCGGTCTTTTCACAGTTTTGAACTAGAACTAATCAACGGTCCAATTCAAAGAAAAAACGAAACTTTGTTCATGGGTATTCTTAGAACCGTATATCCTAATACGGGTTCGTCCCAAAATTTTGAATTTTAAACGTTTTTGCCTTCCGAGTCAAGTTAAAATCACGCAACTCGAAATGGGTGTCGTTAAAAACCTGACCTTTACAACAATTTTGAACCAGAACTAAACTCAAACGGTCAAATTTCACGTTCGTTTGTGCCAAACCAATTCACAGAAACGAATGAGGCGAAGAAGAGCAGAGAGGCAGTGTTGGAAGACTGGTCGAAGAAGTCGAGCACGAAGGCGGAGAGGGTCCACTACACGGCGGTTTTCACGGTGGATGCAGCCTTCGGCACGCCGGGAGCCATCACCGTCATGAACAAACACCAGAAAGAGTTCTTCCTCGAGAGCATCACCATCGAAGGCTTCGCTTGTGGCCCTGTTCACTTCCCCTGCAATTCCTGGGTCCAACCCCAAAAAATCCATCCGCAAAGGCGTATCTTCTTCTCTAATCAGGTAAATATTTTCATCCTATACCCATTAATTACAAAACGTCCAAGTCAAACGGCCTAAACCGGTTAAACCGGCCATATACTCTAATATTAGTTTGTTGTAATCATTTAATTTATCCCTTAATATCTCGATCTTGCCATACATGTCGTTTTCCTCCCGCCGACAACATTACAGTGTTTAATATTCAACACCCACGTTTTAATCAGTACATTTTAAATGTTCATATCATGTGCATCGTATATTAAAACCTTGGTGGGTCCATCCTCTACACACACTTCTACATCACACTCAAAAAAGATTATGATAATTAATAACAAAACACCAATCGTATTTAATCTTTTGATTATACTTACTTTACAGCCGTATCTTCCGAGAGAAACGCCAGCAAGCCTAAGAGCGTTGAGAGAGCAAGAACTCAAGAACTTAAGAGGAGATGGCAAAGGAGAAAGGAAATTGTCGGAAAGAATCTATGACTATGATGTCTACAATGATCTCGGAAATCCCGACAAAGGACTCGAATTTGTCCGCCCGACACTCGGCGGGGAAGTGCTTCCGTACCCTAGACGGTGCCGCACAGGCCGTCCTCCTACCGATACCGGTATAGTTTTATATTTACAAGTTTACATTTTAAGGAGGGACATTTTCTAGTCTAATTGATAATACATGTTTAACTGTTATGTTTGGACACTAAAACGACTTACTGGACAGATATGAAGGTGGAGAGTAGGGTGGAGAAGCCATTGCCGATGTATGTTCCGAGCGATGAACGGTTCGAAGAGACGAAAAAGGAAACGTTTGACGCCGGGAGATTGAAGGCGGTGCTCCACAACCTTATCCCGTCGCTAAAGGCGAGCATAATCGCCGAGGATTTCGCCAGTTTCTCCGAAATCGACAGCCTCTACAAAGAAGGCCTACTTGTCAAATTAGGGTTCGAAGACGATCTCTTGAAGAAGTTACCTTTGCCTAAGGTTGTGAACAAGCTTCAAGAATCAAGTCAGGGCCTTTTAAGATACGACACTCCCAAAATTGTATCAAGTAAGCCCTTTCTTTTTATTTTTGTCAAAATTTAAGATCTCTTAATCATATATATAGATCATTTAATTTACCTTAGTAGAATAAAATAGCGTTATTAAGAAGATATAATTCGTAAATCAGGAAACATGTTGCATGCATGATTCAAACATGGGCAAAAACCTTTAATCTTCTTTTCCATTACTATTTATTTTTATGTTTATACGTTGTTTTCCTATTTGAGGGACCATCTTGGGAGACGACATGAATAGTATATATACATATACATCTACAAAACACGAAGTGACTTGACTTGTGAACCCACTTGCCCAAATATACAGAAAATACAGTATTTTTCACATGTTTTTTTCCCTTTTTGGAGTGGACCGATTAATTTGATAGAAATGTTATGTTTTGTTACTAAATGATTTATATTTTAATAATTGTGCAGAGGACAAATTCGCGTGGCTTAGAGACGACGAGTTCGGTCGGCAGGCGATCGCGGGGATAAACCCGGTCAACATAGAACGAGTCGAGAGATTTCCACCGGTCAGCGAGCTGGACCCTCAAATCTACGGTCCACAACAATCCGCACTCACCCATGATCACATCATCGGCCATATTGACGGCATGTCCGTACAACAAGTACGTCGTCTCAACAGTATATAAATAGTTGATGTCTTTAAATAGAAAAAAAACATGCCTTTATGCAAGCGAATCTTTAAAGTTTTTTTTTAAAAAAAATCTAACATGTAATAGAATATTTTTATCGTACTTTTCAGGCCGTCGAGGAGAACAGACTGTACATGCTGGACTACCACGACATCTACTTACCATTTCTCGATCGAATCAACGCTCTAGATGGTCGAAAAGCCTACGCCACACGTACCATCTTCTTCTTGACCCGTGTTGGGACCTTGAAACCTATAGCCATAGAGCTAACCCTTCCCCCCTCCGGCTCGAGCCACCAGTCCAAGCGCGTGGTCCCCCCTGCCGTCGACGCTACAACCAACTGGACGTGGCAGCTAGCCAAGGCCCACGTATGCTCGAACGACGCAGGTGTACACCAGCTGGTTAACCACTTCTTGCGAACACATGCATGTTTGGAGCCGTTTATATTGGCTGCACATCGGCAGTTGAGTTCGATGCATCCGATATTTAAGTTATTGGATCCACACATGAGATATAATTTAGAGATCAATGCATTGGCTCGACAATCTTTGATCAGTGTCGATGGTGTGATCGAGTCTTGTTTCACTCCCGGACCGTATTGCATGGAGATCAGTGCTGCTGCATATAAGAACCGTTGGCGGTTTGACATGGAGGGCCTCCCGGCCGACCTTGTCCGAAGGTACATTAACGCATGCATACATATTATACATATATATATATATATATATATACGTTGAGTTGGTTTAGGGTTTGGTTGGTGGGTGTTAATGTTCAAGTGGGTCTAAATCTAAAAATCTATGTATACATATACGCATACATATATACATCTAAGAGTTTTTAGTTAGTTTAGAGTGAGATAGGAGAATGTTAGGTTTCATTTGGAATGGGTTTGGGTAAATATTGTTCAAGTGGGTCCAAAAGCCTATGATATGTTTTGTGAAAAACGTGAAAGGTATGGTTACGAGTCATTTTCTTGAGATGGGAATTCGAGTTTGGTCGAATTTGGCTTTATATTCTTCAATAACTTTTTAAAGAATTTGACATTTATATTGCTTTATATTTGGCCCATTGCCTTCAATTTATTTCACGTACGTAATGTTATTGTTATTATTTATTGAAATTTAATTTCTTTTTTCAGGGGAATAGCTGTTCCCGACCCGACACAACCGCATGGCCTCAAGCTCCTAATAGAGGACTACCCTTACGCCAACGACGGGCTCCTGATCTGGTCGGCTATCCAAAACTGGGTTCGAACCTACGTGGACCGTTACTACCCGGACCCAAGCGTAATCAGAACCGACCACGAGCTCCAATCCTGGTACGCCGAGTCAATCAACGTCGGACACGCCGATCTCGCCGCCGCAGAATGGTGGCCGGAGCTCTCCACCGCCGAAGACCTCGTCTCCGTCATAACCACCCTCATCTGGCTCGCCTCCGCCCAACACGCCGCCCTCAACTTCGGGCAGTACCCGTATGGAGGTTACGTCCCGAGTCGACCGCCATTGATGCGTCGACTCATCCCCGACGAGTCGGATCCCGAGTTTGCGAGTTTCATGTCGGATCCACACAAGTTCTTCCTGTCGGCGATGCCGAGTCTTCTCCAGGCGACGAAGTTCATGGCGGTGGTGGATACTCTCTCGACGCATTCGCCGGACGAGGAGTACATCGGCGAGAGGAAGCAGCCGTCGACTTGGACCGGCGACGGCGAGATGGTGGACGCGTTCTACGGGTTCGCGGCGGAGATCGGACGGTTAGAAACGGAGATCGAGAAGAGGAACAATGATCCTAACCGTCGAAATCGGTGCGGGGCCGGGGTTTTGCCGTACGAGTTGCTGGCACCGAGTTCGGAACCCGGTGTGACGTGTCGAGGCGTGCCGAATAGCGTCTCCATTTAAGGAAACAAATATAAACAAAATGTATTATACTTTACGTGCACTTTTGTAGTTTTGTGATTTAGAATGTGGAAATATAGAATGCTCTGTGTATAGGTTTTGTACATGGGATAGTGTAACTATTTTTTGAAGGAGTTAATAAAAAATTCCTAAGTATATTGGCATTGCATTGAATTTTTATACGGATAGTTTCTTATATCTATATTGGATCTTTAATATTCATAAAGGAAGAAAAAAAAAACAACCTGCGTGGAATGTGCCTTGTAAACTAACAGAAGTGATCAATGTAAAAGGGACCGTCCAAACCGGTTCGAGTCATTCCGTTTTTTATGAGTATAAAAAATTCTGATTAAATTCTATATTGTCCCAATTTGTGTATCGGTTCGCGAATCAAATAGAGAATATTAAAATATTAAAAAATAAAAATAAAAACGCTATGCAAACCTATTTTTTTGGGGCTCAAATATCTCAAACCGAGCTAATGGTTGCATACTCTGCTAAAAAAAAAAATTGGAGAATGGTTGAAAGGATCTTAAATTACCTCAATAGACGGCGCCACCCAACAAGAGAATTTGGATGAAACACAATGAACATACGGTGATTGTATCGCATACTGATCGAGTAGTGATAGCATCGTAAATCAACTACAGATTACTAAACTTTTGTTGGCGGCAATATTGTGACGCGTAAAATATAAACAAACGGTGGTAACAAGATCAAGCGTCAAAACAGAATATAGAAAAAAGAGCGAAGACCACGTACATGTAAACTAATATGGTTGAACCCAAAATTGGGTAGTTTAATCGGTGAGATGGGGATGCAAAACGTCTGTCCCACCTGAATTTGGATTCAAATTTAGAAAGGAAATTTATAATCCAAATCACATAGTTGACTCTCGATACTAAGATTTGTTTGAGATTTATTCTAAGATATCTAGTTATCAAAAGAAAAAAAACTAATATGGTTGACAGATCAAGAAGCAATTCACGTTTCACAAATTTGGTATTCCATTAAAATACCAAACACATTGAAATAGATTGTACTTGTTTATACTACGCGATATTGTTTCGACCGTGATTTAGAACAATGACGAATAGATTAAAATATTTTTTTTATAACGGATGACCCTAACTGCTATCATTCGGGTGCACTGGCTGGATAAATTTTCGGTCCGAAAACAACCTTTGTATATAGACCAAATTAGTCCAGAAATTACCTTCCTCCCCGCTTTAAAAGTTCGAACACTTGACCTGTGATGGTTATCTGTTAGAGGAGATGATACTAGCAATGCTGATGAAGACTTGATCGAAGATGAAGAAGAAGCTGTAGCAGACTAAGAATCTACAGTAGACGAAGTCCATACATGACGACAACAAGTGCAGACTACGACAACTCACATAATCAAGCAAACAGCAGATTATTTCAGCAACAACCAAGAAAGGAAAACACCAGATCCTTCCAGCAAGAAACCTGGAAAGGAAAACACGACAATTAGACCACTAAATCTTCTAGCACTTTTCTTCTAATAGTCAATTGTATATTCTGCAATATTTCCTCTTCTCTCTAGCCGTTAGATGTGTATATATATATATATATATATGTAATCAAAAGAATAAAGAAGACAAGAAGAACATAGCACTATTTCCTCTGTCTTTCTCAGAAATATCAATCCTTTTCCATCATCTAAATCTAGTTTTGTTCATGGTATCAGAGCCACACGGTCTGATATAACTCATTCTCTGTTTGTTTTTTTTTTCATTTGGCCATCCTTTCAAAACTGATTATCTCTTATCCCTCTCGGTTTCTCATGGATACCCAAGCCAAATTGATTCCTGTTGTTCTCAATGTAGACAACTATTTTTATTGGTCAAAGGCAGCAAAAGTTGTCCTAAGAAGCAAGGGATTATGGAAAAACATCACTGAAGAAGAGTGGACTCCACAAACTCCAGCTACTGGTACCGAAGCAGCTGCTGTTGTCAGCAATGTCGAAAGAAACAAATGGAATCAGGATGACCAGTTGGCACTTGCCATCCTCCACAGCTCTCTTGATCAGCATCTACTCAAATCCTTTATTGCACCGGAGAAAGCCAAAGATCTCTGGGATGCACTTTAGACGGTATATGGTAACATCACAAACCTTTGTCGTGTGTTTGAAATTAAAAAGAAGATGTTTCAGTTGCAGCAGAATGGTCAAGCCTTTAATGTCATTCATGGTGAGCTCAGTGCCTTGTGGACTGAGCTAGAAGAACTTCGCCCTCCTACAACAGATGTAAAATCATTCAAAGAACGTCTAGAGGAGGATAAGGTGTTTTCTATCCTTCTTACATTAGATGCCTCCTACAATGACCTGATCTATCACATACTTCGTCAAGACTCTCTTCCGAAATATGATGATGTTTGTATGATGATAAAACGAGAAGAAGGAGGTCGTAACCTTTTTGCAGGGCCGAGTGAAATTGCACATTATCGGAAACAGAATTTTCAACCCTCTTTTCAGAATCGTGACCGTCGCTCCCTGGTTTGCGAGCATTGCAGAAGGCCTGGCCATGTCAAGGAGAAGTGTTGGCTCCTTCATCCTCACCTCAAACCAGCGAAGTATAAGGATGTGTCTCATGCTCGTGGCTCCGCCCTTACTGCTGATTCTGTTCAACTCACTTCTGATGACATGATTGGAATCAAACAGATTCTCCTTGTCTTTTAGCTGGTAATGTTTCTTCTCCTCATTTATCTCGGTTGCCTACTCTCATCATTGATTTTGGAGCATCAAGTCATATGCTTAGTGATTATGTTTTGCTAAACAAAATTAAACAAATCTATGGACTAGTTTCAGTAGCTAACGGAACTAATGTTCCAATTCTTGGTCAAGGTAAGCTTAGATTATTCAATTCTGACTTTAATGCATTCCACATACCAGACTTTCATACAAACCTCTTGTCCATATCTCAATTGACGTCTGATTTGCCGCATTGTTCTGTTATTTTCAATACTAATGAGGTTTTGTTTCAGGATACTAAGACAGGTTCTATCCTTGGTCGGGGGATTAAACGCGACAACCTTTACATCCTTGACCCCGCCACCTTTATTCAAGAATCTGCATTTACTTCTTCCGTATGGCATGCTCGTTTAGGACATTGTCATCCCAAAGTGCTTAAATTATTAGTTCCCAAGTCTAGCTTTGATCATAAGTCGTGCGAGGCGTGTATACTCGGAAAACATTGTCATAGTGTATTTCCCGATTCACAAACTCAATACGACAATTGCTTTGACCTTGTTCATTCGGATGTTTGGACCTCACCGTGTTTTTCCCATGATAAATTTAAGTACTTTGTCACTTTCATTGATGAAAAATCAAAATATACCTGGATCTATTTTTTGTCTACAAAATCTGATGTGTTTGATACATTTAAACGGTTTCACTCGTATGTCTCTAACCAGTTTCATGCTACTATTAAAACTTTTAGAACAGATAACGGTGGTGAGTACACTAGTCACCGGTTTCGAGACTTTCTTTCACTCCATGGGATCATCCATCAACGGTCATGTCCTTCCACTCCTCAACAAAACGGAGTGGCCGAGCGTAAGAACCGCCATCTTCTCGAGGTTGCTCGCACGATTCTGTTTCACCGACATACGACTGACATAACCCAGCCTCAACCCCGCCGGAGTGAACGTCTTCGTCTTAAACGCGACCGTCTCCAGACCACTGCCCTCTGCTCTGTCAAATATCCTATCGAGCAATGCTACTCTTTATCCCACTTACCATTTTCTGATCAGTGTTTTCTTAGTACTCTTGATCAGGATACTGAACCATCTTGTTGCAGCAAAGCCAAAGAGCACAAGGTCTGGCGAGATGCTATGCAAGAAGAGATCCGTGCCTTGGAACGCAATGGCACTTGGGAAGTAACTACTCTCCTGACCCATAAGAATGCTGTTACAAGCAAGTGGGTCTTCAAGATTAAACGACGTAGTAATGGTGAAATCGAGCGCTACAAAGCTCGACTTATCGCCAAAGGCTATACTCAGACTTACGGTGAAGATTACACCGACACGTTCGCTCTCGTTGCCAACCTTAAAACAGTCCATGTTATACTCTCTCTGGCAACTAATCTTGATTGGCAACTATGGCAACTCGATGTCAAGAACGCCTTCCTCCAAGGCGATCTGGAGGAGGAAATCTACATGCTTCCGCCACCGGGCTTACGTGACAAGATCGGGAGTGATAAAGTTTGTCGACTACGCAAGGCCCTCTATGGCCTAAAGCAGTCTCCTCGGGCTTGGTATCACAAGCTCAGTGTTGCTCTATCCTCGATTGGCTTCCACCGCAGCGAGGCTGATCACTCACTTTTTGTCCGACACACGTCGACCGGTATCATTGTTGTTCTCATTTATGTTGATGATATCATACTCTCTGGCAATGATTCGTAGGGTATTTGCGATACTAAATCATTCTTCCAGCAAACCTTTGACATCACCGACCTTGGTGATTTAAAATATTTCTTGGGCATCAAGATTTTGCGAGTACCTAACGGCTTATTTTTATCTCAACGCAAGTATGTCCTTGACCTTCTGCGCGACACAAAGAAACTTGCATCTAAACCAGTCCGCACGCCTTTGGAAGTCAATCATAAAGATCAAAGTGCGGGGGAACCTTTCACGGATCTGGAGTAGTATCGACGCACGGTAGGTAAACTTATCTACTTGACTATAACACGTCCTGACATCTCCTTTGCTGTAAACCAGGTTTCTCAGTGGATGCACAGCCCCTCACTTCGTCACTGGGAAATGGTCGAAAGGATCCTACGGTATCTAAAGGGGACTCCGGACAAAGGCGTTTGGATGCAAAACAATCACGATACGAGCATTACGGGTTAGTGCGACGCGGATTGGGCCGGTGATAGACACGATCGCAAATCTACATCGGGTTATTGCACGTTCGTTGGCGGCAACCTCGTCACTTGGCGAAGCAAGAAGCAATCGGTTGTCGCTCGTTCCAGTGCCGAATCGGAGTACCGCGCTATGGCAAACACTACTTGCGAACTCCTGTGGCTACGTAGCCTTCTCGCAGATCTTGGCTTCTCCACGGACATGCCGATGCCTTTACACTGTGACAACCAAGCTGCAATCCATATTGCCGCAAACTCAGTATATCATGAAAGGACAAAGCATATC